ACTAAATCAACAGAATCAACTATACTTTCAAATCAAATTTTAATTATTAAAATTTAATATCTTATGCATGTTTAAATTGTTTCTGTATGAATTTCTGAAATGAGAAGTTGTTATTTACACTATGTTCAAACTTATCTTTCTTGTTATCACAACATTTTGGCTGTTGTGTTCTCTGTCCTTCATCAGGTGTATATCAATCCTGGTAATCTACAGAGAATTCTGAACTGAACCCTTTATTTAATCTGCAGACGTAGAATGTTCTCATAGTACTGCCCATGTGTAAAGATGTCTCATCTAATTCTTATTTTTAATACTGCACAGTTACTGTTCACTCTGTTTTCATACTACCCGGGGATTGAACATGCAATTACTATGTCACCAAATTCATGAAACAATGCTTTACACAGGACAATAGCCTAGTGGATTAAATCATTAGTTTGTGAATTTGGTGACATAGTAATTGTTAAGGTCAATCCCTGTGCTGGACTTGGTGGAAACAGGATTAGCAATAACTGAGCAGCACAAAAAAAGAACTAGACGAGATATCCCTAGACATGGGCAGTGAAACCAGAGCATTCTACTCTGTAGTTTCAATAAAGGGCTCATTCAGTTTGTAATTCCATATAGGTTATCTGGATCGATATACACCTGATGAAGACTGGAGGGCACAACAGCCAAGACGTTGTGATAACAACAACAACAACAAAGATGAGGGCAATCATCTGCATGAGAATAATAACTCATCATCCCAGAAATTAAGATAGAAATCATACTTATTATAAAACCCACGTTGTGTGTGTGTTTGTGTGTGTATGTTCGTTTATATATTGGATAGGATTTCCTACATTTTTCAACCAATGTCAACAAAACTTCACGGGACTACGTAAACCTTGCGGTGGTTCTGACAGCGGCAAAAATTGGAAAAACACAATTGTTTTTGCACGAAATCAATTTGAAAACACAATTAAGAGGCATCGCTGAATGAAAGGGGGACAACTCATATTGAGTTATACTTATTATAAAACCCAGGTTGTTTGTGTGTGTGTTCGTTTATATATGGGATCGGATTTCCTACATTTTTCAAACGATTTCAACAAAACTTCACTTTTTTTGGCAGGTAGTGTTTCTTATTGTCTTGCACACTTTTTTTTTTTATTTTACATTTAGAATGCTTTAAAAAATTCCATTTACAAGACAATTGTTTATAATAAAATTCTATTCAATCGGTAGACTCATAACGATTGAAAACAATGTTTTTGTTTGAGTTTGGGTTTGACCAATTCGTAAAAAAAAAAAAACAATTAAAAAAAAATTAAGACATGCGTGTCCGTCAACCTTAAACAATAAGCTTTGTCAATTTTATTTTTTAGTCTTTATGATGGTCGATACTTGATCTATCTCTTACTGTTACATTCCCGGGCAACACTGGGCTCTACTGCTAGTCATTAATACAAAGCTGAGGACATTAATCCAAACGTAAATAGTGTAAATAATGTTTAAATTGCTTGAAAATCAGTTAATTTATAATTTTTAATTACTTGGTTTGTTTCAAATTTTAAAGATTGCAATAGAAATAAATTTTATTTTATTAAGCACATTAAGTTGGAAATACAGGCAATCTGTTTGACTCTTTAAGACCAACTATTTGTCTATGAAAAAAATATGCAGAAGTTTTCATTATTACTCTATTGTTACAATTAAGAAAATAGTATGAATGAAAATAAAAATAATTTTGTTACACGCTACAATATGAAAAAAAAATACTCTCAAAAATAACTTGCCTCATGATGCCTGTTATTTTTAATTTAAAATCTATAAAATTTATTTTTTCTTCATTTAAGCATATATGTGCTAAAAGTATCCAAATGTACAATGTTATTGCATGCATTACTGAAGATATATGTGACTTTATATATTTCATTTACACAACTTTCTCCCCCTTTCTTAATCATGAAATATCACTAAAAAAATGTCTGATTACCAGAACAAAAGAATATCTCATCAAGTAATGAGATCAGGTTGCTAATACATTGCTTTTTTTTTTTCTTATTTCTTTCATGAATATTTTTACTTCTAACGATTCAAAAAGAATTCCTTTTTAATTGTAGAGGTAAAAACTCATGAAGAAAATGTAACTAAGGCAATTGCAAAGCTACTTAAATATTGCTTTTTTATTTTTATATAGTACAGATGAACTAGTATAAATATAAGTGTGGTTTGACTTGTGTATAATTCTGTCAGTAAATTTCATCTTTATGTACAATATCAGAGTATTGGTTTTGCAACATGCATATGTCAGTATAAAAATCATTGCAAAGTTATTTTGTAAAGCAATAAAAATGTTTTTGGTTTTTAATTTTATTTTCACTTGTATTGGTATTTTTTAAAACTGTTATTTAAATCCCACACCTTTTAGATATTTAAAGGGGAAAGCAATAATAAATAAATCAACTGCCATTTCAATTAATGACATTAAAACTTGCTACTGTGGATCAGCTTAGAACTTTTCTCAAATTTTATACTCTTTGGGAACTTGCTAATATATATTATTATTTGTCATTACAGCATGATTATTATGATTATTGTCACCCCTTTTATTAATGACACAATTTAAAGCTCACCTAATCTTGTCAAATGACTCTTTTCACTGGAACACATCTAATGATTATGACTACCAGGAATGCTTTTTATTTCTCTCATTCTCTCTTCGTATCTTCTTACAGAACCTGTCTATTATTTTTTTTTTTTTTTTGTCAGCTTTATTAACATGTTTCTTCTCAGCAAAGATGCTGATTGTTCTCTTGACCAAGCAGTGGTCTAACTTGTCTCCAGGATTTCTTCTGCTGAGGAGGAGGATTGAGAGGGAGAAGTTAACCTTGTCTTTGTATCTAATTTTCTCACATTGTTACTTTCTTGTCTTTTTCCAACATGTTTATTATATTTTGGAAAAAATGTTTTCTCTAGTAGATCAAAATGTGAGTAGTAATCATCTTTAGGATTTTGTTTTTTCTGTGTGACACATTGTTTTGAATGTAAATAGAATATAAAAATACTTTTTAATTTTACAGCTTTGAGCTTCTTGGTTAAATATAAAACTTATAAGATTGGAAAATATGTAAATGAAATGTTTCATAATAAAGACACTTTAACTGCTTCCAGAAAAATGGCATGATTTATGATACAGTCATAACCTTCTCATTTTAGCTTTATAGATGAACCTAAATGCTGATACTTGATTCATTACTGTCAGTATTTTTATACACACTCACACAATGAATAACAAATTATTTCGTAACCTCCTCTGGGACATAACGAATACATGTTTATTTCTATTTTATGGATGATAAAAAGCCCTGTTCAATTTGATGTTTAACTTTTGACATTTTACTATCAAGAAGTCATTGTGAATGTTTATATTTGTCACTATTATGTACACATCTAATATCTTGGTTTCCAAGTTGTATCCAGAAAAAGAATGTGATTTTTAAATATTTTCTTGTCTGTGCATTTGTTTCATAAATTTATTCCAGAAATGTACTAATCATTTCTTTTCATAACATTTCAGGTGACTTTGAAAATATTTGAAGATCAAGAAACTTAGCTGTTTGTCTTGTAAAAAGGTTAATATTGCAAGGTAAGTCAGGTATATGCAAGCTTTATTGTTACAGCTCTTATCTTTGTACATAAGTGATTTAATCTAATTATTTTTATTACAGTGACAAAATTATTTAATGTCTATATTTATTCTGCAGTTAATCTTGTCAGATTGTTTGAATTCTAAGTCACAATTTGTATTCTGTTCATCAAAATTTAATTTGTATTCTTTTAATCTCATTGACAAAAAATAAATTTTGGTTAGATTATCAACTTGGACTCCCTTTTTTTTAATACTGGAAATACATCCAACCATTTTTTTTTTTTTTTTTTTATCTGAAGAACTTATTGCACTGCTTTGATCTAGCTTGGCAACCAATCTAATGGGACTTTATTCTTATGGGATTACCTTGTCACTTGAAAGGTGATATTGAATGAACTTATATGCTGTGTGACCATTATATATACAATGACTGAGCAAGTTTTGTGGTTTGTTTATTTTGATGTTTTGCTCTGTCAGTGCTGCTAGATCTTTACAACTCTTTTCCAAAAAAGGTAAAAGGGAAGTGAGACTAAACAAGATTAAGAACAAGGAAGGTGCTGATGACAATTCTGAAAGAGGACTTTATAAACTGTTGAGAGTGGATGAAAATTTGATCAGAAATAGTCTATCAGATTATGCAGACATACCACAGAAAATACTAAGATTTCCTTTTGAATTTTCAGACACATGTAGTTATACTATAACATTTTAAGAGTTTTTATTATTCTTTTGAATTATTTTGTATACTTCAGGAATAATAGAGAATTTAAGATTTTTCTCAGAAAAATATCTCTATCTTTACTAGAAATAAATATGAAATGATCTAATAAACAAACCAAATGAAAACTTTTGTACTACTTTCAAATAGTTGTAATGGGTACTCATTCTGGGGTAATGGTTAACAAGCCTATCTCTCAAATTATTACTAATGAGTAGTGAATTCAATCTTCACTGGATACTTCCATACTTTTGACTGCCAGACTGGAGTTTGGTTGATGGTTATTTCTTGATATCTGCACTTTTACTAAAGGTCTGCAAACATTTTGAAGTTCATGCAATGAACATGATCTTGTTCTACTCTAGACCTTGTGGAAATATATGAAAATTCTCGAAATTGCACACATTACAATTTTATGTTTCTAAAGTAGCTAAACAAGTAAATGTTTTTTTCTTGTGGTTAAGTTAGTCATTTTATCTGAAGAACTACTGTCAAATAAGAATTACAAAAATCCTTTATCTCATACTGGTTATCACTAGGTAAACATTCATTTACATTCTCAAGAAACAGATCTTTTCATAGTGTGAGGTAAGTCACATAGCACATTTGATAAAAATATTTAAGAGTTCATTTAACTTTACAGGCTTATGGCCATATCACATTGAAACACTAGTTCCCTTACATTCACTAAAGTTAAGCAACATCGAGCCTAGTTAGTACCTAGATGGGTGACCACTTGGGAATACCAGGTGCTGTAAACTTGGATTTGCATGTGGTGTAATGGATAATGACTCAGAATTCTTAATCGGGGAGCAGAGTTCCAATTCATGTTCAGTTCTGTTATATCCACTTGTGTCCGAGTACCTTTGGAAAGGGTATGAATCCACCTCTTTCTCACCCACCCTGCTATAAGTTAATTAGTAAGACTTGTATCACTAAACAATTATCATCTCCAAAAATAAAATTGTGTATGAAATATTTAGATTTCAACATTAAATAGCCTATAGAGGTTGATATGCTGCTAAACAAAAACGACCAACAATTAATTTTACAGGAATTTTCTTCTACTGGAGAACTATAAACATTAACAGACTAACAGCTCACTCTTGAATGCTTTTTTTTAATAAGAAGAATTGGTCTAAATGAAGTATCAGATTCCAACAGGTCAATAATATTTAGGATATTTCTTTTTCTCATACCTCTTGCTCTGTTCTTCTTTTTCTCATTATTGCTCTTCTCTAATCACCCTCTCTTTGTTCCTGTGTATCTCCCCTTATATTTTTTCTTACCAATTCTTGGTCTCACTTGTTTGTTGTTTATTCTCTTCAATTTTTCAGGTTGAAAAAAAAAACTAACAAGTTTATAAGTCAGAATGTGTGACTTCTATTTCACTGTTCTGCCATAGAGCTATCACCACTTTTAATAAATAATTGGAAAAAAAAAAAAACAAGAGTTGCTAAATGGCTATATTTGCTAAGAAGCTGAACAAATCAAGGGTTCAAATCTAACTACAAAGTATTTTACTGCTGTGTTTCTAATTCTTCTTACCATACACATTGAATATATTTGTAGAAATAACTCAAGGTTGTGGGAATAATCTCTTTGATATTCAAAATCGTTTAATATTTCTTTTTAACTATTAGTTGATTAAATACCAACAAACAACTATATCTTGGTTTAAAATGTAATCAATCCTATTTCTAATAACCACTTCATCTCAATTTATTACACTAAAAACAAACAATAACCACCCTCAAAAAAATATGATACTACTATTTCTTGACTACTCTACCTCCAGTATTCTTGCTTTTGTACAAATATTTGGAATATTTTCATTTGTTAGCTAACACATGGTGAAAACAGTATAAAATGGGATAAATTGTTTAGCTTGTGGTTGCTTGTTTATAAACAATTGTGCTTTTTCAACCACACCTAAGTTGTTGGGTAAATGTTCATTCATCCAGACTACCACCTCCATTGATACCATCCTATACTTGTAATGTGCTCATCTTTTCTACTAAGTACTATATCTCTACTCATTCATAGCTTCCAAGATTACCTTGTGATCAATATAATTATTTTATAAAATAATGTTATATAAGAAGTAACTTATTGTATTTCTGTATATGTATCTGCAAGATAATTTAAAAGTTTGATATATCTTATCAAAACTTAATATATTTACAGAATGAATATCTTCATGATATTGGATTTTAAATTGTCTGCTTTATATTTTTGTGACCAATGTCTTCTATTCTTTAAAAATATCTCTGAGAACAATGTATAAATCTGTATTTTGAAAAATTCAAGTATTTTTTTTTGTTTTTATTTTATTCATATAGCTTTGATTTTTATAATGAAATTAGCTTATGTTGTAATTGTTGTTACATTGAAATTACTATTTTTATTATACTCTTCACAAATTTTGTACCTGAAATTATGAAGAAAATTATATTATTCTAAAGATATATATTTGACTAATTTAAAAAATATCTATATTAAAATAGATTTATCCACAAGACACATTTTAAAACAAATACCTTGACTGCAATGGGATTAATAAATGTTAAAATGTTAATTTTGTTCAAGGTTTATGAACCTTGATGACAAATTCAACCAAATTTTATCAATCAAATATTGATATTTAACTTTGTTTCTTTTGTTATTCACCCAATTATAAAAATTTTGTTTTAATAAATAGTTGACATATAGCATAAGAAAGGTTTTTAAAATGTGTATCAAATGACGTTTAATTTGCATTTTGGAGTATTTGTTAGACCCAATTTTTTTCTTTTTACGAAAGTTTATAAATTATATTTTCAACTGGCCATGCAAGTCTTAACTGGGATGCAAATGAAATTTGATATTTGAGATATTTTTGTTTCTTTCTCAGTAATATATCATTAGTTTCAGAATTAAAAAGTTGATTAAATGAAAACACGTTTCTATTTCTTTACCAACCCCAATTTTTTTCTTTTTTTTTTATATTTACCTTCATCATATACACCTGCAGAATGTTATTTCCTTGTCAGGTGTGTTATTAAGGCCAGGTCTTGTATTATGTTGACATTCCTATCAAAAAAAAAAAAAAAAAAATACACATACCACAAAATAGAATTCTGCTTATTTGATGCTTTTTTTTTTGTTTTGCGTTGTCTAAATAGAAAACAAAGAAGTCATTAAAACCAGAAGTAGACTTTTTTTTTTTCTTCTTTGGATAAATCCAGATTTCTTATTCTCTACTGATGTAGTGACTGCTAACAACAGCTAACAAACATGAACATGAAAAAGAGTGGAATGATGAAACAAGCTCTTAAACAAATAACCAATATCATTTTATCAATATAGTGATATAGGTTATCTATTTATTTTTGTTGTTTATGCATTTCAGATCATTCTATTGGTGGATAAAGTCAGATCATTGTTCACAGGGGTAATGAAAATATTCTGTCTTATTTGGACCATATTAGTTTTTTTAGAATTAATCACCATTGTCTTGAATGTGGTTTTAATTTTCTTTGGAAATATAATTGTGTGTAAGCTTGTACTGAAGTTGAGAGAAATCAAAGCAATTGCTCTTTTCTCTTCTATTTCATTATGCCCTGTCAACATGACTGTGTGTGTGCATGTTGTTGAGTTTCATATCTTTCCTCAGTAAACAGTGGTATGTCAAAGATTCCACATTCTTAACCATTTTTTAGTATATACTTTAATTGCTGTTATATTCCGTACTAATAGGAATATGGAATGGACAAACACGGTGGATAAAGAGTCACAGGTTTATTGTATAAACCAGTACAACAAGTAAGGAAGTAATAGTTATGTACACGGTCGTCACAAGTCAGTACAGCTGTATATGTGCTGCTCTTGGAAGGCCACTAATTTTGCAGATACTAGCTCGACTCTGCTGTCCTAACGGATACATATAGGTCGTTACCACCTTTAGTGCCGTTAATCATGGGGGTAGCAGGTTATTCCATTACATCAATTGCTTATTGACAAAATATCATTAGCTTCATAAAGTCTTTGCAAGTAATGAAAACTTGCAATATAATGGCAAATGTTTTTTGTCATTTTTTTGTTGTTCTAGTGTTATCTCCCTTGCACTAATGATTTTATTTATTTAAATACTCACGAAAAGTCATAATTGTAAGGAATAAATAAAATGTCATTTCTTATGGCAAGCAGTTGTAAGAAAAAATTAAAAAATATTTAAATATAACTTATCAGCTTTTTAGTCTGTTGAAATCTTAGTTTTTTAATTATGACAACTTTTATTTAAAGAGATATATTAAATAAAATATCACATTATTAAAAATATTAAAATATTTAAATGTAAATGTTTTCTTTGAATTTTTTCCCTATCTACTACTTGAAGTGATGACTTTTCCTAACAAAACTTAACCTGATTACTTTTTTCTTTTTTCAGTCACCATACAAACTCCTCCTCTAAATTAATTCATTGGCTTAAGAGTAATATGTTGGAAAGATTAATTTTAAATGTAGTTAACACTTTTCACAAAACTTAATACATTTCTCATCCTGGGTATGATGATAAACTATATCTGGCAGCAAGGCCTCTGATTGGGAGAGTGGAGGTTTTGAGAAGCGTGGAACCAACTCTTAATTGTTGTTCCTAGGTTCCTGGGGTGGTAGCGCATGTTAGGGTCTCAGCTACAGACAAGTAGTGAAACCCAAGCAAAAATTAACAATACATTTTTCTAGTAAAATTACAAACAATACCTTTTTATGATTTACAATATATATATTTAAATTGTGTGTATTTAGGCAGCATCTTATATGCACGTGTTTATCATTGCTTGGAAATCATCTATGTAAACAGAAACAGACTATTATCACATTCTTGTCCGTGTATTGCTTAATATATTGTACAGTAATTATCATCTTTGATAATGGCTTATGTAAGCCGAAAGCTTAGATTGGATTAAAAAATATGTATCAATATTGGGATTTTCATTCTTCATTTAACGATAATGTTATTAAGCGTATCAGATGTTATGAAAAGAATTTACATAAAATAAATAGACAACACTTGTCTATATTATTTAATGAAATGTATGAAAATATATTTTCATAAAAACATACCTTTACTCTGAAAGTATAAAATCCTATACAAAATATCTGTAATTGAAAGCATAAAATTACATAAAAAATATTTAGATTTTGGCATTAAATAACCCATAGATGTTGACCTGTCATCAAAGAAAATCTATCAGCATGAAAAATCTTTCATAACATTAGTCCATATAATATCCTACAATTTCTTAAAGAAATCACACTGTATTCTAAAATATAACTTCAACAAAACTACAACATAAAATACACATCACTACTTCCAGTAATCATGTCCACACAAACATGTATATGCACAAAAGCTGAGTATTATCTAACATGTATTCAGTTGTGAAAACAGAATAACATATATCATTTTTATTACTTCAAAGCTCTGAAGAAAAATAAATGTTGGCATTAAAATTACCCATAAGGAGTTGATATGCTATTAAACAAATTGATTAATCAATCTTAATGGAAATGAATGACTTAAGATTTTGGTACAGTAGGTTAAAGATTTAAAAGAAACATCATATATATATAATTTTTAAGGTTTGATTTTATTTTTAATTCTGCTACATTGTTGTGGACAGAGGATTTTAATTTTCACTATCAAACATGAAAATATGCATCATGTAAATGGTAACAATTCATTGAATGCAATTTTATTTACATTTGGACTATT